CCGGCCAGTGTGGCTCAGTGGTTGAGCATCGACCCAGGAACCAAGAGGTAGCCGGTTAATTCACGGTCAGGGCACATGCCCGGTTGGAGGCTCGAGCCCCAGTAGAGGCTGTGCAGGAGGCAGCCGATCAATGATGTTCCTCTCTCATTGATGTTTCTATTTCTCTATCCCTCTCCCGTCCTCTCTCTCTCAAAATCAATAAAAACATTTTTAAAAAGAAAAAGAAAGTAGAATGGTGGTTGCCAGGGGCTGGAAGAAGGATGAATTGAGACGTTAGTGTTTAATGAGCCCAGAATTTCAGGATGGGATGATGAAAAAATTCTGGGAATGGATAATGGTGATGGTTGCACAACAATGTAAATGTACTATGACTAAAGTGTACACTTACAAATAGTTAAATCATAAACTTTATGTTATGTATATTTTATCATGATTGAAAAAAATTTAAATCACGTGGACTCAGTTCTTCGTCAAAGACAAAGGATCTTATCGTGTACTGGCTAAAGCCCTGATACCCGATATGGTGGCCACTAGCTACACGTCCCAAGAGCCCTTGACGCATGGCTGGTCTTACTGAAATGTGCTGCAAGTGTAAAATACCCATCAGATTTCAAGGGCTCATATATATTTTTAAATTTCATTTGTTGATTTTAGAGAGAGGAAGGTAAGAGAGAGAAGCATCAATTGGTTGCCTCCCACACGCACCCCGAGGAGTGTCAGGGATGCACCCAGGTACCTGCCCTTGACCAGGAATCAACCTGAGATCCTCTGGTCCTCAGGCTGACTCTCTAACCACTGAGAACACTGGCCAGGGCTGGAACGGAATTTTCTTATTGGCTACAGCACTACCACCGGGAGAGTAGCACCTCCCCACCCGGGGCAGCCGGCCAGCCTCCCTTCGCCCCTTCGCCCCCACTCCGTCCGCCACTCATTCAGTGGCAGCGGCGGGCAGCAAGGTGACTCACAGCTTCCTTATGATGGTCTTCTCCTCCTTGTCTCTGCTGGCGTTGCTGGCCCTGGCAACCATAGTGTCCTTTCCTCTTCTCCCTTCGGGGCCTTCTCTTGCTGGAATCAGGCCACTGGAGAAAGGGGGGCAGACAAATGGGGTGTTTTATTGCAGACCTCTTATTTGTGCAGTCCTGAAAGTGAAGAATCTTTTTTTTTAATATAGTTTATTGATCTTTCACAGAGAGGAAGGGAGAGGGATAGACAGTTAGAAACATCAATGAGAGAGAAACATCAATCAGCTGCCTCCTGCACATTCCCCACTGGGGATGTGCCCGCAACCAAGGTACATGCCCTTGACTGGAATCGAACCTGGGACCCTTCAGTCCACAGGCTGATGCTCTATCCACTGAGCCAAACCGGTTAGGGCTGAAAGTGAAGAATCTTAATCATTATTATAACATTAATAATTTCAGCACGGAAAGCTCCGGAGTCAGAAACTCTTCTCTCCACATGAGACTCTTCTCTCCACGTTTCCAATGCTGAAACCTCTTCTTTCCTTCTCTTGTCTGATTACATTGGCTACCAGTTCAAGCGTCTCCACTTTGTAGGAGTATGACCATGTGTAAATTCTTTAACTTGGGCCTTGATTTCCTAAATGGTAAAATGAAGATAACAGAAGTGCCTACCTTCTAGGGTTGAGGGGTTAAGTGAGACAATAATACATGGCACTCATTCAACAAATATTTATTAAGCGACGTACCGTGCCATGGTGCAATGAACAAAACAGAAAATATCTTCTCTTATGCAAGTTACATTCCAGTGGGGAAGGGAATGGTCAGTAAAAAAATAAGTAAAATAAAAAAAATACATAGTAAGTCGGATGATGGTACAGAGTTAGATTGATAGTGACTGAGAAGCTATGGGGGTCAGGTGATCCCAGGAGGGACCTGATGGGCAGAAGTTGGAAGAAGGCTGTTCTGCCAGCAGTCATGCTTCCTAGGATTCAGAGAAGGGCTGTCCGTATGCAAGGTAGTGAGGACAAACAAAGGGAAGCAAAGAGGAGAGAAAGAGGCACCGGGTCCCTGGTGCCCACCCCGAGGCCTTCGCTGCAGTTTTTTCTTTTTTTCTGAGAGCAATTCCAGGACCCTTCCCAGCTACGTGGGCCAATCAATTGTGAGAAGAGACACCAGAGGGCTGCTCTCTCTCTCTCTCTCTCTCTCTCTCTCTCTCAGGCCCTGTGAGGACGCAGCCAGAAGGAAGTTGCCTAGGAGTCAGGAAATGTCAGCACCAACCATACTGGCACCTGGATCTGGGACTCGTAGCCTCCGGAACCGTGAGAAAAGACACTTCTATTGCTGAAGCCCCCAGTCTAGGATATTTTGTTACAGCAGCCTGAGCTGACTGAGACACCCCTTTACATATGAACTTCGGAAAGCAGAACCCACCCTTCTCTCTCCGTTGCAAAGAGTGGATTCTTATTAGTTACTATAATAATATTATATTTTTATTATAATATTAATATTTCATAAGAGGCATCGTCTAAAAATTTCCCCTTTCCACTATCTATTGTTATTTGACGCCCTGAAACTTAGATTTACAACAGGGTGGCTTATGAGTCTCAGGATGGCTGTCCTGCTTAGGGTTGGCCTGGTGGCTCTCAAGCAGCTGCATGAATTGGTGGATGAGCTGGGGGCTGGGCACAGCTGGGGCTGTCGGCTGGGGCACCTTGGTTCTCCTTCACGTGACCTCTCCTTGTGAATGCCTTGACTTCTTCACAGCATGGCGGTCTCAAGGCAGCATTCCAAGAGCATAAAACATGGAAGCCTGGAGGTCTCTTAGATCCTTAAGCCAAATGGCACGTTCCATTGACCAGAGCAAGTCACAGGGCCGCCCTGATTCAAGGGGAGGGAAGTCTCTACCGCTTGGTGAGAGGAGAGGAAAAGTCTCCTGGCAAAAAGCATGCGGGATGGGGACAACAGTTGTGGCCACCTATGGAAATAGCCCACCATTGCTGCCTTCAATCTAAAATGATCTTTAGGCTGGCCAGCGTGGCTCAGTGGTTGAGCGTCACCCTACGGACTAGGAGGTCAGGGTTTGATTCCCGATCAGGGCACATGCCCTGGTTGTGAGCTCCATCCCCAGTGGGGGCATGCAGGACGCACCTGATCAATGATTCTCTCTCATTATTGATGTTTCTATCTCTGTCTCCCTCTCCCTTCCTCTCTGAAATCAATAAAAATATATTTTAAAAAATATAATGATCGTTAGTATGAGCTTAGGCCTCCAGATGCCACTGCTAAGAGAACACCTCAGTTGACAGGCTCGTTTCTCCAGGACAGAGAGCGCGAGAGACCAAGCGAACCCTGCTGTCTCGGCCTGCACCAGATGGGAAGGGCACATCTGCTGTTTGCTGGGAATTCAACACTGGAAACAAAGGGTGTTGCTTTATTCCCTCACAAGCTGCCAGTTTGGCGGCTCCTGGCTTTAACTACCTGTGTCTGAAATACTTATCAAATGAGACAAAGACAGGTCTTTCCATGAACATGGTTCCAACCACGGCAGAAGGCAGACAATGAAACGTCTGTTGACAGAACTCAGCCCTTTTGGATTTGGCTTCCTAGGACGTTTCTGCTTTGCCACTGCCGTCTTCATGATGCTCGAGGAAAGAACGGAAAGAATAACATCACTCGGGCTCTGTCTGGAATCAGGATCCGCCCTGCCTTCCAAACGTGCAGGGTCCAAAGGTGGCCGGACAGGAAACGTGCAGGCTGGGCGCTCGGGCTGCCTGAGGACACGCCTCACTGTTGCCACCAGCAGCCGGGGACTTCCAGCAGGTACTTGACCGCACAGGCCTGCGGTGAGCACTGGATGAAGTGATGCCTGGGACACACTCGGCCGAGCGCTGACCCTGGCAAGCACTGCTAACCATGAGCGGGGTCTGCGTTTTTATTCGCTTGCTCTCACCCTCTTCTGCCTCTAAAGAAACCCACCTGTGTAACTCAGTGTTTCCCAGAGCCATGCAACCACACAGCCCCCGCCCCTCTTTTCAAGAAACACCAACATGAAAGATAACATTTTGGGGGACAGAGGCTCAGGTGGATATAGCAAAGTCCAACCCTGATACGTCAACAATTTCCTTTGTCCTATAGCAGTGATGGCGAACCTTTTGAGCTCGGCGTGTCAGCATTTTGAAAAACCCTAACTTAACTCTGGTGCCGTGTCACATATAGAAATTTTTTGATATCTGCAACCATAGTAAAACAAAGACTTATATTTTTGATATTTATTTTATATATTTAAATGCCATTTAACAAAGAAAAACCAACCAAAAAAATGAGTTCGCGTGTCACCTCTGACATGCGTGTCATAGGTTCACCATCACTGTCCTATAGTCCCTCCGTTCACATATTATCGTGATCTTTTATAACTTTGGATTTTTAGATAATTTAAAACTTAGAGAAAAGTTGTAAGATTAGTAAAAAAGACTTCCCAAATACTTTATCCCAGATCCCCCAATTATTTATGTTTATCCCATCTTACCTTTTTAAATCTTATTTTATCTTATCTTTCCATCCAACCACCCACCGATCCACCTACCTACCCCACCCTTCATGCATCTACTTTCTTTCTGAACCACTTGAGAGTAAGTTGGAGACATCTTACTTCTTTATTCCTGAAGAATTCAGTGTAGCCCTAACCGGTTTGGCTCAGTGGATAGAGCGTCGGCCTGTGGACTGAAGGGTCCCAGGTTTGATTCCGGTCAAGGGCATGTACCTTGGTTGCGGGCACATCCCCAGTAGGGGGTGTGCAGGAGGCAGCTGATCGATGTTTCTCTCTCATCGATGTTTCTAACTCTCTATCCCTCTCCCTTCCTCTCTGTAAAAAAATCAATAAAATATGTTTAAAAGAAAAAAAATAATTCAGTGTATAGTTCCAAAGGGCAATGATATCCTCTCATAACCAAATAGTTCAGTTATCAAAATCACCTCATTGATCCTTTAAATGGATCTTGTCATTCCCTCGATTAAACCTTCCCTACTTACAATAAAGTCAGAGCTCTTGCCTGTGGTGGACAAGGCACCACTCCCTAGTCTCTTCCAGACCACCCGCCCCTGCATTTCAGGTCCCCCCTGCTGGGTCTCTTTAACTGGCCACGCTGGTTCCCACTTCTGGTCTTTGAACTTCTCCGAACTTCTTGCTCCATTCTGGTCCTACCAAATCTATACATGGTTGTCTGCTTCCTGTCCTTCACCTGAGAGGGGTTGTCCCTAACTACTCAATTTGAAACAAGTTCCTCCCTGCCCTGCCTGTGTGACACTGTGGTTGAGTATTGACCTATGAACCAGGAGGTCACGGTTCTATTCCAGGTCAGGGCACACATGCCTGGGTTGTGGGCTTGATCCCCAGTGTGGGACATGCAGGAGGCAGCCAGTCAATGATTCTCTCTCATCATTAATGTTTCTATCTCTCTCCCTCTTCCTTCCTCTCAAATCAATAAAAAAATATTTTAAAAATAATAAACACACAAATAAATAAATAAATAAATAAAACAAGTCCCTCCCCCCCAACTCCCTCAGCACTTGGGTCTGGGTCACACCCCCTGCTTTTATCTTCTTTAGAGCACTGATACCATGACCCTGAGTGCTTATTTCAGGCTTCCTTGCTGCCTACCTGTCTCCCTAGATGAGCATGCACTTGCTCCGTTTGGGTCACGGCTACACCCCCACCGCCGGGCATCATGGGGCTCGGATAAGTTGGTTGAATGGACATGGGAGCCAATACGGGATGTGTGAGGGCACCCTCGCGGGCGGCAGAGCCCACCTCTTGTAGCACTGCAGCTCCTCCTGCGCCAGCAGCAGCTGCGCCTTGAGCTTGTTGCGCTCCTGCAGCACGTCCCTCAGCTCCTGCAGAGTGAAGCGCGGCCGGTTGGGGTCGGTCAGGTCAACCATCATCTTGCCTGGTCCCAGGCTTCCCTGGAAGAAAAGATGTCACTGATGCAGTTTCCCTTGAGAGGATGAGCTGTCCATCCCAGAAAGCAACGTTCTCTGGTTTGGTTACTCCCGGGGCCCTAAGGAGAGGAGGTGTTGCCTGTTGGGAGTGTTTGGCTGGCGGTAAAGAAGCGAAAGCACCATTCTCCAAGAAAAGTGCCAGGGCTCCTTTGGCTCAGTGGATAGAGCGTCGGCCCGTGGACCGAAGGGTCCTGGGTTTGATTCTGGTCAAAGGCATGTCCCTTGGTTGCAGGCTTGCACCCGGCCCAGGTCAGGGCGCATATGGGAGGCAACCAATCTCACATCCATGTTTCTCTCTCTCTCTCAGCATGTCATCCGGTGAGGATTTAAAAAACAGGAAGAAAATTGTGACACATGGATGAACCTTAAAGACATTATGCTAAGTGAAAGAAGCCAGTCACAAAAGGACAAATACTATATGAGTCTACTTACAGGAAGTACCTAAAATAGGCAAATTCATAGATGTAGAAAGTAGAACAGTAGTTACCAAAAGCTGGGGGGAGGGAGAAATGGGGAGTTGTTGTTTCATGAACACAGAGTTTCAGTTTTGCAAGATGAAGAGATCTGGAGAGGAAGGTGGTGATGGTTGCACAACCATGTGAATGCACTTAATGCTACTGATTTTTAAAAGGGTTAAAGCGGTGAATTTTATGTGTACATGATCACAATTAAAATAATAATTTAGAAAAGTAAATGAAAAAATAAGGCCTATTTGTATGAACTAATGGAACTAAACATTCATTCTCTCTGCCTTCTCCCCACCCCCCGTTCTGAAGTCTGTGGTTTGGGAGGAAAATGTGCCATCTCATCTGCTGGCTGATGAAGCCTGTCCGCTGTGCCCCTATGGGAAGTCACACTGTTCACAGTCCCTGGTGGGGCCTCCTCCGTGTCCTTGTGCCTGGAGTTGAAGGTGACGGGAGGAGGGCACAGGGCATGAGCTGTGATGCTGGGTGAGTCACTGAACTGCTCTCGAGTCTCAAAAGCCAGGCTGCTCATCATGATATTCAACTGGCCTCCTATGATGATATGAAAGTAGACCTTTCCCTAGCCCAGTGGTCGGCAAATGCGGCTCGCGAGCCACATGCGGTTCTTTGGCCCCTTGAGTGTGGCTCTTCCACAAAATACCGACTTCTGCGCATGGGCCACGAAGTTTCAAACGCACTGTATGTGCGCGCCCGCACGTGGTATTTTGTGGAAGAGCCACACTCAAGGGGCCAAAGAGCCGCATGTGGCTTGTGAGCCACTGCCCTAGCCAGTTTGGCTCAGTGGATAAAGCATCGGCCTGCAGACCAAAGGGTCCCAGGTTCGATTCCGGACAAGGGCATGTACCTTGGTTGCAGGCTCCTCCCCACCCAGGCCCTGTTCGGAGCTCATGCAGGAAGCAACCAATCAATGTGCTCCTCTCACATCGATGTTTCTCTCTGTCTTTTCCTCTCTCTTCTACTCTCCCTAAAAATCAATGGAAAAATATCTTCAAGTGAGGATTAACAAAAACAAATACATACATACATATATATATAGATATATATATAGATATAGATATATATATAGATATATATATAGTAGAGCCTTATCTGCAAATATCATTGCCCCCGTGACTAAGGAGTAGGTGAAATTCGAGTGTAGCAGGAGAGCTACCAGAAACCTTCACTCTTCCCTGGGAATTTCAGCGACCTTGGCCGTTGGGCTGCCAGAGTTCGCTCCTCAGTCTGTGATCTTGGATCCGAGTTCTGGGGGAATGTGCGTCTTACCCCTCCCACTAGCTGTGAGCCGCCAGAACGCAGGGCCCCTGTCTGGTTTACTTCCATGGCCCCAGAGCCCACACAGTGCAGTCACTCAACAAATGTTGGTACAGCGTAAGGTCCGAGGACCATCTTAGTATGGTGTGCTTAAAACCAGCATCTCTGAGCTCAAACCCTGCCTCCACCTCCTACTTGCTCTAAGTCCTTAATAAATTATTTGCCTGTTCTATGCCTCCATTTCTGTAAAATGGGTATAATATAGTATAAAGACTAACAAAGAGTTAGGGCAGATCTTATTTTTAAAACTGTGGCTGAAGACTCTGTCCTGAGTATGATATTAATTTAGTGAGTTGCAACAAGAATTTAAAAACTCATAAAGTAGGAAATATGACTGTGCATCATGTTGCTTCTTGAAATGTAATCCTGTAAAATGGAGGTGTAACATAGATACAGTAAAACATACTACTCTTGAGTTTATGGCTTGATGATCTTTGCCATATGCTATACCCACATAACCACAGTGCATTTCCTTCCTGCTCCCTCTCGCTGTCCCCTCCCTGGTGTTAGGTTAGCACCAATCTGTCTTCTATAAGTAAAGATTATTCTTCCTGTTCTTGAATCTCACATATGGTAGGCTGTCTTTTGTGCTTGGTTCCTGTTTCTCAATGGAACACCTGTGAGGGTCATCCACACAGTTGTGCGTATCAGCACTCTGTTCTTTTTCAGAGCTGTGTAGTATTCCATCGCATGGATATACCACCCTTTAAAAACCCACCCACTCCTCTGGTGCATCTGGATTCTTTCCAGTTTGGCACAAGTACGAATAAAGCTACTCTGAATATTCTCACACGGGTCTTTTTTGTGGTCATAAACACTAATTTCTCTTTAGTCAAATTTTACATCTTAATCTAGGTCAAAGACAAAGTGTGATGTCTGGACCAATAGCATCAGCATTATCTGGAAGCTCATTTGAGATGCATATTCTCAGGTCCCAGTCCTGACCTATTGAATCAGAAACTCTGGGGCTGGGGCCCTGCAGTCTGTGTTTTATTTATTAATTATTTTTTTATTTGCAGTCTGTGTTTTAAAGAACACCCAGGTGATGGTGATGCCCGCTTAAGCGTGAGAACCAGTGCTCTAGGTCATGGTCAACAATGCTAGCGGCCACTGATTTAGAACTACGCAGGACAGGGCCCCAGCACCTAGTAACTGCTCCATAAATGTTTACAATCGCAGCGTTTCCAATCTGAGGGCTGGATACGCGCAGTGCTCTGCTTGGAGGGGCTTGGATATTCAAGAGAGGAAAGGGTTAGACGGCAACCTATGACCCAGGAGATCACTATTCCTGGTCAGGGCATAAGCCCGGGTTGTGTGGGGCGTGCAGCAGGCAGACAATCAATGATTTGCTCTCATCATTGATGTTTCTATCTCTCCCTCTCCCTCCCTCTCTAAAATCAATTTAAAAAGTATATTTTAAAAGAGAAAGAGAGAGGAAAGGGGCCTCCGTGCCAGCGGGCACTGCCCCACGCGCCCCTGCCTCCCGCACTCACCTCGGGGCTGGCCGCCGCGCCCTCTCTCCGCAGCCCCTCCACCTCCTTGCGGAGGCTGTCCCGCTCCATCCTCAGCTCCTCCGCCGCCAGGCTGCCCTCGCTCACCAGCGTCTCCAGCATCTCCAGCACGCGGACGATTTTGAACTGCAGCTGTGTCACCCGGGGGTCGCTGCCCAGCGCCATCAGCTCGCGGCCCACCACGTAGGAGATGTCATACACGTCCTCGGCGGTCAGCTGGAAGGGGCTCTTGCGCAGAGCCCCCTCGGGGCCAGCCTCGTCCTCCTCCTCCTCTTCCTCCTCCTCCTCTCGCAAAGGGGGCTCCTCCATCTCCATGGCCGCGCAGAGCCCCGCAGCCTCGGGAGCTGCTGTCTCCGAGTCTCCAAAGGTCCAACTTCCTCCGGACACAGAAAACTTTCCGCTGGGCCGTGGAGCCCGCGCAGGGGAAGGCCCGGGAGCGGCCAATCAGCGCGGCCGAAAGGGGGGCCGCGGGGATCGGGAGGCAGCGCGCGGCTCTCAGGCCCCGACGCCCGGTGCGCCCGCAGGGCTGCGAACCAGGCAGAAGAGCGCCTCCAGGATGTGGTTTGGGGAACGAACGAGAAGGAGGGCAGCCGAGAAGAGGAACGGAGGGGAGACGGGGTGACAGTGATTGCTCCCCACCTGGGAGCCGCTGCAAACTCGGGGCGGAGCTGCGGCTCGGAGCCCCGCCCCTGGTGACTGCGGCTACGGACGCCGGGTTTCCACGGAGACGGGGGCGGAATTTCCGACGTCGGGCGGTGAGCGAGTAAAAAAAAGCACCAACTTTTTCCTCTCTACACTCAAGCTTTCCAGCCTCAGAACTGGCATTGCACCTGGAGGGAGCTCTGGGACTCCGTGACATTTCCTGAAGTCTGCGACCAGACAGGAAGCAGTCGTTGGGGGCCGCGCACAGGTGGGTGCAGGAGCCTGGGCTGCCAGAAGCTCCCAGGCCAGTGGTCGCCAGGGCCTGGGGCTTCTGACCCTCAGTGAAGCGGCGAATCCCTGCGCTGTGCGCTTTGCCGACTCCTGGGCTCCTCCACGTACCAGCCTTGTGGCCTTGGCCACGTTACTGAACTCCTCCGAGCCTCGGTTTCCTCCCCAGCGAATAGCAGTACCGAAGCGGAGGGGTTGCTGTGAGGAATATACCAGATGAGATAATGAGATAATGCGTGTGGCAAAAAGCACCCAGGAAGCGCTCAAACACGTCAGCTGGTGTTCTCCTTCCTCTCCAGAAACAAACATGAAGCTCGTGTGCCAGACGGACACTTGGCACACGGGTTGGGGTGGGCACATTCTCCAGGTACAGAGGGTGTTACTGCGCGGGGAGTGCAAAATGAATGACTTCTGTTTTGCTGAGAGGTTTGTAACAGAGGGAGAAAGCTCAGCAACCGAGCTTGCCTTTCCCCGGAATACGCTGCCAGCTTTCTTTGTAAGCAAGCAAAATAGACACTATTTTCAAAGGGCATGATGTTCTGATGATCACAGGGAGGATCCTAGGCAAGGGCTCAGATGTTACAATGCTCAGTGATTAAATACCGAGATACAATATAAATAAAAATGTTATAGCCACACAATGGAATAGTGTTCAGCCATAAAAGCAATGAAGGAATAGGGAGCCTTCATTTATAGGAAATAAAACCTAACATGTACAGTTGAATGGTTTTCAACAAAGGTGCCAAGGCCATTCACTGGGGAAAGGACAGTCTTTTCAACAAATGGTGTTGGGAAAATCGGATACCCACATGCAAAAGTATGAAGTTGGAGCCATACCTTACACCATACTCAAAAATTAACTCAACGAGGATCAAAGACCTAAACCTAAAAAGCTCTTAGAAGAAAACATGACATAAAGCTTATGTCATTAGACTTGGCAATTTCTTCAAAAGCACAGGCAACAAAAGGAAGATACATTGGGTTACACCAACATTTAGAACTTGTGCATCCAAGAACACAATTAACAGACTGAAAAGGCAACCTACAGAAGGGGAGATAGTTGCAAATCATATCTGATAAAGGGTTAATATCCAGAATATATGTGAATGCCTACAATGCATCATCAACAACGAAAAAACCCAAGTAATGGGCAAAGTAAAAATCAAGGCAAAATCCTTAGCAAGATATAGCAAACAGAATTTGACACAACATAAGAAGCATTATATACTACTAGAGGCCCGATGCATGAAATTCATGCAAGAGTAGGCCTTCCTTCCCCCGGCTGCCGGCACCAGCTTCCCTCTGGCACCCAGGACCCGGGCTTCCCTCGAAGTCCTGGCTTCGTCCAGAAGGTCGTCCGGAAGGATGTCCAGTCTAATTAGCATATTACACTTTTATTATTATAGATTACCAAGAGGAGTTTATTCCAGGGATGCAAGACTAGTTAAAAAATCAGACTAGCCTTGGCCAGATAGCTCAGTTGGTTAGAGGATCCTCTGATAGGCCAAGGTTGCAGGGGTGATCCCTGCTCAGGGCACATACAGGAATCAACCAATGAATTCACAAAATACGTGGAACAAGTGGATGTCAAGGCACATACCCTGGTTGTGGGTTCAATCCCCAGCGTGGCGCCTGTAGGATGCAACTCGCTCTCAAAATCAATTTGAAAAAAATGATAAATTTTATCTCATGTGCTCTTGGCCAAAATTTTTAAAAAATACTTATTTTTATTGAGTTCAGAGAGGAAGAGAGAGGGAGAAAACATCAATGAAGAGAGAGAATCATTGATCGGCTGCCTCCTACATGCCCCGAAAAGGGACTGAGCCCACATCCCGGGAATCCAACTGTGACTTACTTCCTGGTTCACGGGTGAACACTCAACCACTGAGCCACATCAGCCAGGCTCAGCTCCACAACGTTTTACCTGTGTATATACTTGTTTGACCTCCACTGAGATCAAGATATAGCATATTTTCAGCACTCCAGAGAGCTCTCTTAAAATTTTGGTCAATAACTGCTGAACTGGTGTGGTTCAGTGGTTGAGCATCAACCTATGAACCAGGAGGTCACTATTCCATTCCCAGACATACCCAGGCTGCAGACTCAAATGCCAGTAGGGGGCATGTAGGAGGCAACCGATCAATGATTCTCATTCTCTCTTATCATTGATGTTTCTATCTCTCTCCCTCTCCCTTCTTCTCTGAAATCAATAAAAATATATTTTTAAAAAAACATTGTGGAGCTGTACACAATATTTGTGCATTTCCTTTAGGTAACGCATACCTAGATAAAGTGCTGGGGCTGGGGTGGGGAGGGAAGGAATGAAGCAGACACTCACTACAATGTGGATGATCTCTGGCAACACTTTGCTAAGTGAAAAAAGCCAGTCACAAAAGACCACGAATTGTACGATTCCATTTACATGAAATGTGTAGAACAGCAAATCTATTCTGTAGAGCCAGAAAGTAGATCGGTCGTGTCTAGA